AATCTTGGTGCTGCTTCGTGTGCTTCTGCAGAAAAGTGCGGAATGTTCTCACTAGCCGCACGTGGCGAGAAGGATAACACTGGAGATGGCTCACTAGCCCGAGAACCGGCTTGCGTGGATCATTGCCAGAGTCAGCAATCATATCGCCAAAACGAGGTTGGGAACTTTGGATATCTTCAACCCTTTTACGAAAGAGGCCGGGTACGCGGGCACCCGCTGGTGCTGGCGTTGCAACCCTGTCCTGTCCTCCGGCCGGGCCGCAGGAGAAACAGAAAACAGAGAAGCTGGCCTGTTCTGACGACCTGGAGAGATCTTCATCGAATGCACAACGCGCATCTTTGTGCTGCTTTACCTCACATCACTGGCTGGACGTGAGGGGTCGTCGTCCATCATGTACGCCCGGACGGTTGCTGGTACGGTGCTGCGAGCGGGTGTAACTTTGTCCTGGCGGCACATTCGGCTGCGGTGCCCATGCGGGACGAATGGGCCCGCATCGTAGCAGAAGGATTCCGATGCGCTCATGTACATGGTAAGTGTCTTGGGGCGCCGAGAGTTTTGTCCGGATAGCTGGCACAACAGGGAAATAGATGAGCCCACCACCCACTCTCTGCCTGTCAGTCGGTGACGGAGGAAAAGAAAGCATATCCAACAGCCCCAATGGCTGAACCACGGCCATTCATGCCCTCAGTCCTGGCCGGTTGGAGATACCGGATCGGGCTTGGTGTCCGTCTCGTGGAAGAAAGATTTGGGGCGAACCATAGTTGGATTTTGATATTGTTACGTGTGAGGTCTCCCGTGGGCTGCAGTTGCAGTGCTCGACACCGCCTGATGATTGGCATATGATGAGCGCACATCATTTCGAGCTTTGGCCACTTTCGAAGCCAGGGCTACCGGTGCTGTCCGTCATCAGATTTCGTTTGTATTGGCACCAGAACGAAAAGGCCCACGGCGACGGCGCTGCGCCTGACGGAACTGTCAGTGTCAATGCCATCCAGACAAAAAGTCTCCGTCTGGCAGGTCTGGTTAAAACAAATAAGGCCGTGCCAGCAGGACGGAATGCCCAAGGGGGTTCCGTCGCACGCCCTATGTGCCTAGCTCGAGATCCGGCAGCGGGCAAAACTCCTCGTCTTTGATCAATTTCCGATTTGGCCCCCGCTGGTGATTTCGAACCGCAGCCACAGGGATCGCCCTCCTTTTGCCGCAAGGAAAACTCTGCCACCAGAGAGAATTGGGACATCGGCTGGAGGTGAAAAGGTCTGAGAACGATGGGACATCTGGACCCCCACTGATGTAACTCCAAAGAGGGACTCCCTGGCAATATTCAGCATATTGAACGGGTCCCCTGGCCCCAAGAATTGCCTCGCCTTGGTCCGCGCCAGACGCCAGTTTTACGTGGTTCAGGAGGCTTGAAGAAACGCCCGTGAAGCAAACATTCGTCCTTCTTGCCAGAGTCATGGCGAAGGAGAGACATGACAAAACCATCCGGCACCCGTGCGACAGAAACATTGGCCCTTTCAATCGAATCAAGACCTTCTTGCGCGACTCGGGGGTCGGCTCTGTTGGGATCCACTCGCTGGATGATCATAAATGTTCGAATCCGGGCAAGGCGGTGACCCTCGTCGACGGGGAATTTGATGCACATATCCGTCCCCACGAGCTAATTAAGCGTCCCCTTTTTGGTGCGTCGGACCGGCCAAGGCAAAACGGTCTTGTCTGGCATCACGTTGGAACCGTATACACACTTCAAAGTGCAGAGACGAGACGCCCGATGATGGCATATTGGCGCGTCATACGCTTGCTTGGACGTGTTAGCCCCTGGACAAGAGCCACGAACGAAGTAGGCAAAGTAGCAAAACCGTTTCCGCAGGCCTAGCACCAGTCGTGCAGCACCGGCGCCTCGGTATGTCTTGCTAGCCACGCTAGCTTAGCCTCCGAAAGCACCCAGATCCCCGACTGACGGACTTGATTGGAGAGGACTGCCATCATCAACCATCTATGGGCGTGGCTTCGCCTAGCCGGCCGCGTCTTCTTCTTCTCCTTCGCATACGTAACAGAGCCAGCACGACATCTCATTCGGTCGACAGGGTCTGCAGCTGGAACTCCTAGTGTGTGATGACTCTTGCTGATGTATCCAAGTTGATGAGCAGTTTCGCGAGACATACGGGCCGGACACTGTGTCGTGGGAAGCGGGCGGACGGGTGAGAGAAGATCGACACGCCCGACACGCCGAAACCTGGCGCTTCCGGGGGTTCTCAATGACGGCGCAGCGCGCCTGTCGCGGATGTCAGAGATGGAGCCCTTCCGGAAGACGGTAATCCTTAATGCCGTTTTGGAGCCATCGTGTCCAGGCAATCCGTCAATGGCGGGGTGGCTCCCGTCCAACGAGGGACAGGTGGGACAGACGGACGCCTCATCTAAACCGTTTCCAACGTTCCAGGGCGTTGTTGGTAGGGAGGGAAAATGAGGACAAGGCCCTGAAAGTTGGCAAACCGCTCAGCCGACAAGCGAAGGTTTGCGCTTGGCCAAGAACGTCTAGGGGTCCCGTTGACCCATTGCTTTTCGATTCTTCAGTGGAATTTTAGCTACGGTTACCAAGCCCTTCCTTGCCACGTGCCGCAACTCATAAAGGCAACCTTTGACCCTGGCGGTTTGCCCATGTGGCTGGCTATCGTGCCACTTGGAGGGCCTGCACAGCGACGAAAACGTTCCAATGGCACGGGAAACGAGATGAATCGGCTCGTTATCTCGCAGCAACAAAAAGGGTTCTCCAGGTTGCCCATGGGTTTGTCTGAGCTGGGGTGGAAACTGTAGGGGCTAGGTTAGGCGGCGTCCAAAGAGGGATGCGTTGCAACTTTTGTGGGAACCTGGATATTGATCCAGATAATATGTACGGGCTGGACGACAAACATGGTAAACTTGTTGGTTGCCAATTTTGATACCCTCCTTCTCGAGATGGGTCATTCCTTACGTACGAGAGCCCAGTACGCGCGAGACGACCTCCTCTGTCACTAGAGGCGTAAGACGGTCGCTGCGCGAACGCCTTGAGAGTCACGGCATGGTTGTTTGTGCGACGATGATGCGTACTATGCAGTATGCCGTGCTTGGTAGACGTAGTGGCTCATTCAGGGATGATATCGAGAGATTGAATGGGGGGATCCAATAAGATCTGGAGACGGGCAACCCACAGAGGATGATGGCGATCGTGGTGGTGTGGTGATTGCCCGTCGGTATGCGATGCGACAGCGGTTCCTGAGCTGAATCTGGCGGGCCTGCTCTCGGGCGGCATGTTGGATGCTGGCGTACCAAGATCGAGGCTGGTCAGTGTAGACAAATCCGCGTGGTCTCGTGGAGGGCAAGTGATTGGAGGCATGGGAAAGAGTGTTTGGAGGCGGCGTAGAGGTGTAAGTGGAAATGCAAGCAAGCACAGGCAAACCTACGGCCCATATCGGTCAGGTCATGGACAATAATAGCGTCGTAATACGGCGGGATCCCTGGCCATGTGCGACAGACGGTCCTGGATAAATGCGAGCTCGCAGGAGGAGGGGAGCGTATCCGGCGACGAGGAGGGTCCTCTGGAGTGTCCGACGTTGATGAAGCGGGAGGCTCATCCCAGCTTTGGCTCTGTCGACAGCTTCATCGAGGCGACAGCAGGATGGGAGTTTGAGAGGTGGTGGTGGTGGGTGGTGGGATGGAATGCGAGAGGCTAGTGGCCTGGGGTCCAAATGGCAAGAGGGAAAGTCCCAGGCGGCCGTTTCCTTCCTCTGGAGAGAGACGCACTTGCCGGGTTCAGGGGAGGAGGCGTTCGTGGTGCACTTGCCCGGGGCCAGGTACCTTAGGTAGTGGATGGGGGGTAAACGGCAGGGCAGCTCGTCAAGGAACGCTCCACTCTACCACCGCCTTACTAACGCAGTAGCCGGCACGTACTCTTACCTTAGCGCCTAGCAAAGTGGAAAGACACCGGTTCGGGGCTCCTGGTTGCGACTGGCTGAGAAGAGCAAGCATCGAATTTCCAACCTACCATCCGGTGGCCCAGAGCCCTGGCTGGTGGAGGCTACCTGAGTCGCAGGTACATGATCACACGCAGCAAACACGCAGCTGAGGCAGGTATCTGCTCCGCCAAGGGGGCAACACTGCAATGGCAATGGCACTGGCACTGTATTCGCAGGTAACTGACATCCACCAGGTCGGACAAGTACCTTCATGTCTCCCTGGAGCAGAGCAGCATCGGAGGACGCTCTCACTCTCGCCTGCAGCGAAGCACCAACCTACGGATACGGTACTTTACCTCAGTTTGCTTGACTTTGGATGCAAGAGCCACGGTAGACGAGAAGGTAGGTAGGTTGCTTGCCTTTCGGCGTTGAGACGCTACACGTCATGTGTGTTGGTATGAATACCATCGACATTATGAACTCTGGCGGGGGAATGCCCCCCAGCAGCCAGTCATCACCACCACCACTTACACGCCATTGCATACCTACTTATTTACCAGCTCAAAGAGGCATTGAAGCACGCCTTGCTTTGCTTTGCAGGTACGCCACCGAGCGAAGGAGGGGCAAATCATCTACACTTCGGAAAGGCCTGCTGTTGACTTTTACCCACAGACAGTAAGCCCGGGGTGGTGACGGAAGGCCTTCTCCAGACTTTTCTCGTACGGCGAGTTCGTGATGAGCATCCAATTCCAGATGCAATGCACCGCACATAGGATGACGGGGCCCCCGCGCAGGGTTTGCTGATGAGAGCCAGAAAGCGAGGTGCCAGAGCTCACTGCGACAGACCAGCTGCAGAATATGTACGCAAAATGTACCTCGATCGAGTGCAACAGGTGCAGCCTGACCGGGGTCAGCGAGTTGTACTATGTACTGCGAGACCCCCGGCCGGCGTGTCATTCTCGAGCACGGTCCCCTCGCCAAACTCTCATTGGGTCTGGGTTGACACGGTTCGACGACCAAAAAGCGACTTGACGGCCGCTGTGAGAAGAAACGACGGCGAGAAGAAGCAAGATGACTGCTGAGAAATCGAAAGAAAGGGCATCCGTACGACAGGAGGCGAGAAACGGAAAAAATCCAGAGTCCATGCCCGAGCAAGGTTGGCTGTCGTTGGTGTTGGTCACTTACCAAAGTTGGCTCATCAGCCCTGTCTGGCTCTGTGGCTGTGGCTGTCAATCAAGCAGCTCATGCAAAGGTAAAGTGCACACAGCAAAGACAGACACACAGGCCATTTCCATTTTCACTAAATGAAGATGATGATGGTACAGAGACGAAGTGACGCAGATGAAAATCCAATCAGAACCAGCCAGGACCGGCCCCGGTTTTCCTGCCTATTGTCTCCTTCTTGAATGACTATCACCGACATGGCACGTAATCGACTGCGGCGCACTACCGGCGGATGGATAGGTTTATGTGGTTTATTCTGACGGATACGGAGTACCTTGCGGAGAGTATCATCGCCGCCCCCCGTTGACATATTTCCTTCATTACCGTTAGGCGAGGGGGGGACATTAGCACAAGGGCGAAGCGGCCCGACCATTGAATCGCTAAGACAATAAGATCCGCCTCGCCTTGGGCTGTCGTCCAATGATGCGATCCAGCATCTCACAGTACCATGTGCTAGACCACGGCATCGTAATTACCAACGTTGCGTTGCTTGTCTATTCGTACTGCGTGTCCGTACTAACAGAAGCAGCAGCCCTCATCGAAAGCTCCCTCGTCCGGCATCTGGAGAAGTCCTGGACGCCAACACCTCCTTTTTATTCTCCGCGACGGAGACCTCGTGGCGGATTAGGATTACGCTGGAGCGATCATCTCCCCTGGAGCCACCTTTTTACTCACGGTACACCTCATCAACCCAGCCCAGCAGCCCTCTCTACCCCGTAGTTACGAGGGCGAAACTTTGAAGGGCGACGACAAGATGGGAGAGGAGCTGTGTTAGTTTGGCCCAAGGCTAAAGAGGGCCACCCCCATCGCATCTCACTCGCGAGGAAACTTTGATATGGCCCGCGAGTCCCTGCCCGGCGCCATGCGCTATGTGCAGAAGAATTCAAACCGATCTCGTCCAATCTGAACGAGCGGCGCGCGCTCAGTGCTCTCGCTGCGCCGCGCAAGACAAGCACAGCCGTCGTTCATACCGGCAGAACACGGTCTGAGCTGGGTTGGTTTGGTTTGGTTTGTTCGTGTGGTCATCCATCGCATCGCCCGGCATTGCATAGTACGGAGTAATCACACACCACTGGCTGCTACCTGGTTCTGGCCGTGACTGTCGAGCAAACAATGTCGCCCACGTCCGAATTCCCGGTTTCTCGACACACAAACACACACTCATACGTGCTGAACCCTGGGGTTTTCGCTGTTCTAGAAGGGCCACCGGACGCACGCACGCACCACCACCAACTCAGATACGGCCGTCAGTCCTCTCCATCCCAGGGGGGTGCCTCCGCCTTCTCTAGTGCCTGACGAGATGCTTGAAGGATGAATAGGAGAAGATGTCCGGCAAGACAGACAGAGAGTTGAGAGTTGAGCAGGAGGAAGAACAAGAAGAACAACAGGAGGGGGCCCGGCCGAATCAGCCTGGGCCGGGCCAGGAGCCCCGGCTACCCTGTCTCTCGCGTCGACCATGGGCCTGACCTGCCTTAAAAAGGACCTGGGCCACCTGTATTTTAGTGGAAAAGGAACCCTGCCCTTTTGCCATCGTCCCCAATGTTCTTCGTGCCTTGGCTCGTCCCTCGCAGGCACTGCAGCAGAGCAGGGCCCAAGGGCACATCCATCTGCAAGACCACCCACGCTAGGCAGTGTACCTACATGCTAGCCCTGGTGTAGATGGACATGTACTCGTGATACTGCTTACCTAGTGGTGAGGAGGATGCTGTGAGGGTCTGCAGCAAGAGCCGGCGCAGGAGGGTCAGTAAGACCGACACCAACAAACTAGCCAGGCACAAGAACAGGAACAGGTACGGTGATAGGGACACAGGATCCCAGGTACAGCCAGGTACCAGGCCGTGCCTGGGGGAGAGAGGCAGACCAGGTTCAGGCAGGTAGCGAACAAAGAAAAGGGAAAACGTGCAGTGTCCTCCACTGTCTAGGTACCTTACTGAGGTGGCCCCTCGTCCCCTCCCCACAACAGGCCGCTCGCTGGGCTCTGTGGTGGCTCTCCCATCTCAGTCCATCCCACCCGACCTCACCCCGGCGCCCCTGGGACCTGGCCTGGCCTTGCCTTCCCTTCCCTCCCCTTCCTTCGCCCGTCACTCCGCCGTCCAGTCCAGTCAAAGTCAGTCGGCCAAAAGAGTCTTGGTTCTTGCCTCTGGGTTCTGCTCTCTCGCTGCTAGAAGTATATACCTCGCCCCTTCCCCGTTTCTGCGACCGGCTGCCATACATAGTATCTTTCCCTACCGTGCTGGCGGGCGCTCCCGACGAGACAAACCCAGAAGAAACCCCGACTCTGCGTCCTCTTTGTCGACCTGACCTGCTGAGAATTACTTGGAACCCGGAAACCGCAAGAGGAAGCCCGTCTTCCCATCATCCATCCCACAGGTCACTGCCGCGGATTCGGAATTGCTCCTGTCCGCCGCTTCAGACAATCATCGCTGCTGCTGCTTCTGCAACACCTAGCCCAGCACCGGCTGACTCTTTCTGCCCACTCATTTCGACTAATACACCTGTTACGACCGAGACACGACGCATCATTCGCACACGACGCCGCCGCCGCTGCCGCTACCGCTACCGCTACCGCTACCGCTAGAGAAAGAGAGGGATCCAAGAGGAAGAGACAGCTGAAGAGAAAGTGGAAGAGAAAAAAAGATTCAGGAGAAACAACACGCCATCTACCGAACCCTCCATCCAACAAGAGGGTAACTTGCGACGACGCCAACACGCGCGAACCTGCAACAGCATCTGGACGTGCAGCCATTACCGCAATTCTGCCGAACTCTGGATTGACTTTTCGGCTGTTCTTCTCGACTGCAGTTTTCCCGTTTTCTCCGTCCGTCTGTCAACCACCATCTTGGCCACCCTGCAATCATGCAAGTTCAGTCTGCATACCATTCGGCCCAGCATTGTTGATACAACCATTTGAAACACCCTGCCAGGCGTCCCAGTCCTTGTGTGACACCCGCCACAGCCACCCACCTGGAGCCGACCTGACCTGGCCTACCTCACCCTACAGAGTACACCCACCTTACAGAGAGTGGCCTCTTTTCTTCTTTCTGCGCTTCAACCTTGCAGACAGACACCGCACCAGAGGTACTCCAGAAGCCGGTACTCCAGCATCTGCACCTGCATTGTCCAGTGTGCATTGCATACCTGACTTCTGTCTGTCTACCTTCCTGCCTTACCAGTCACGCGGGTGGAGCCCACCCAAGATCCAGAGGCGCGCCCCCCCCTCCCCTCTGCTACACTGAAGTATACCGGCCGCTGCTCTGATATCACCTTCCATTCTTAAAATATACTTCCCGCCCAGCCCTCTTCCACACCAAACCAAACCAACCCGCCCAGCTCCACGATTCCACGATTCGCGCACCCCGAACCGGTTCAATCCCACTGCCGACCCGACAAACTTACGACTTACACTCCAATCTCAACCTCTAAATTGTCCTGCCTGCCCACCACCCTCGCCTGCACGACTGACCCCGAACCACACTTCTACCACGCGCCAAATTCCTAATGTTTCGGTCTCGCAAGGGATCGAAAGCATTCGGCTTTGGAAGCTCAGGCAGCACCAAGGACGGCCACAGCAACCACCATCTTGACTTCGGAATCGTGAGCCCCAAGGCGGTAAAGGACCCTTATCGTCCTGGAACCGCCACCACTTCGAGATCGAACAACACCTGGACAGATTGGACGGATGCACAACCTTCTTTCCCTGAAAAGAGTACGTGGGCCCCTCCTCAACGCCGACTTCAGACCGTTCCGAGCGCAGTGCATTGCGCAGCCATCTCAATTGAGAGAATTTGACGTGCTGTCAACGCTGCGCTCCTCTCCCCGTGCTTTCAAACTCTATGCGCAAACTTTCGCTGACAGCTCTTCCTCACAGACGTCTCAATAGCCGCAGGTACCATTCGCGGGCAGGCTCACAGACCCGAGACAGCAACCAGCAACTCGGAGGCACATCGAAGAGGCGACAGCTACTCCTCCAGCACCATGGCATCCGGCGCCGGTCGCAATCGGAGGGAGCGCACCTTCGTAGGGAGCGAGTGCGCCGTCTGCGAGGAGCCGCTCGAGCACACCCTGCGTGGAGAGCGCATCTTGCAGTTCTCCTGCTCTCACGTGTCGCACGAGGCATGCTTTTATGAGTTCATCCGCGAGTTCGAGTCGCAGTACTGCCCCTCCTGCGATGCGCCGCTGCATCTCGACACTAGCAGGGGCGGCAATGTCTTGGATATCGGTAAGCGCTTTGGCCTGTTCTTTGTCTGAGACAATGAATGCTAATATTCAACTCGCCAGAGAAAATCAGCAACCTCGTTCGATCTGTCTCATCTACCGACACTAGATCAAACCACACCCCTACGCCGACGGCCCAGCCCTGGGAAAACCCGACACCGACGCCGCAGCGCCCCACCAGCATCGAGTCGAATCAGCGCAACATGCCCAGCACGCACACTCGCGAAAGCCTGCCAAGGAGTACCGGGCGTGAGAGAGAAAGCAGTCAGCCACCTACCTCAGAACGATACGGCACCTCGAGACATGCGCGTAGCGACAGTGAGGCCACCGGGGCCACCGGCGTCGCCTCATCCGGAGGATACCCTGAGACGACGCAGAGCGGCCCGCCGCGGAGACACGACTATGACGTCCAGGCAATGGAGACCACACCAGGCAGCCCGCGCGCCATCACGAGAAACCCGATACCCGCCCCGACAGTCACGGTGCGATCCGAGTTCCCCACCATCAACAGGTCTCGAACGCAGCAGACATTGACCTGCTTGATCACCGTCGAAGTGCCCGACAACAAATGGCGACCAGATCCCGAAGACTTGGGATCTGCCCCTCCTGGGCCTCCAGCCGTGAATGCGAGAATCGACGAGGCGTTCGCCAGGCCACCGTCACCCGCCCGCAGCGCGCCGCGTTTCTACCCCTACGAGTCACGCGAAGTGCTCGAGGAAATGACGGAGAATCTCAGAAACCGGGTCGACAACTGGCATGGGCTCGATTTCAGCAGGTGAGATTATCGAGCGACTCGCGCTGGCCAATTAGAGTACTGACAACCACCAGATTCGGCAAACTGCGCCTATATGGCACGCTACGTGTCGGCA